AACTTATCTTTCCGCAGACAATCTTGTAAAATCTGTATTGATCTTCTTTATCAATATATATTTTAAATTTGAAAATTGTGTTTGTATTCATCCCCCCCTTCTACAAACTGTTTAGTATTCTTGTAGACCCTTTGGGACCAACAAATACTTATTTTGGTGAAGTTGTTTCATATATGGTTATGAAATTGTATCATATAATACTTATGAAATTTTAATGAAACTGGTTCATGTAATTTTTTTAAAATGAATATAATAAAGATGATAATATTCATAATTAACACCCTCTACAATGAAAATAATTAACCAACCTCTCATAATTACAACAAAAATGAACAAAATAACAAATTATGATTGGTTGAATAAAGTTTATACAAATTATGTAAACCTCCTCTACATAAATATATATATGATATCTTTAAGTTTAACCTGATTATTTTGTAATGTTGTGCCCATGTAAAACAATCTAGTGCAAACTTTCTCCTTAGTGGTTATTTTGACAAAAACCCAACATATTGTCTTTAGCATCATATACTTTATATTTATCAGTTATTTATCAAATAATCAGGGATACTATAAGTTTGACATACAATTATTTTTTAAATACATAATATTTTTTATACGACAAATAAATTCACATGTCTTCTATTCGATGCGTGATTTCCGTCTGCTTTGTAGGCTGGGTGGAGCTGGATATCGTGTTCTTGCAAGGCTAGACCATAGGCGCCCGAGGCGGTATTCCCGTCTTGGGGTTATGGGGCTAAAATTGCTCTCTCCTTACCTGCTTGATTTCTGGTTGAGTAAGGGATGACCACTCAGTCCAGAAGCCCATGGACATTTGATCTTTGATAAGGTTTGAACCCTTTATTTTATAGAAAACCAAATGTCCGAACACCACTACGTCAAATACATTTTGATTTGATGTACGATCTTTGTGTATATTGTAACATAAAAATCAGTCAAAATATATGGGCTTAATGGAAAAGAAAACAATAAGCTACATTGTGATGGGCCATGGACCATCCAAATGTGATTAAAATGAAGGCGTACCTGCTTTCTTCTTGTGTCGTTATTAAAGTACTTTTACATAAGTTAAGGAATGAATACGTTTTGTTTCAAAAACTAGCAGAAACATCAACGATATATCAGATTTTTTATAATATGATGTATAAATTACTGGATGTATATTCTCTAAAGAAAATTACAACAGAAAATCATTCAGAAACATCTGAACTAAATAAAATACAAGATTAATCCATAAATACCAATTGTCATTAAAAATTGGTTGGGCACTAGGTTTAAGGATCTACATATTTTAAATTAAAATTATTGGATTATCTTGTTTTATTATTTAATCCTGTGTGGCCATGCTCCCACTTGATCCTGTTGCTCCCATCATATCCACCCTTGATAACAATTGGATCACCCAAAATTCTTATACATCAAAATCAAATACAAATCACATAAAATATATCCACAAGGATAAAAATTGGTTTTAATTTTATTTTCTTTAAAATTATTTTTCAACCATCGGTTGATCGAATCTGGATTTAGATACTAAAATTTATGTATCCGATCTGATCAAATCTGATTACAGTTTTCATTATAAAAGTTATTATAAATACCTGTTATGATCGAGATCAATTTTCTCTCTACATCAAACCCTTTTTATTTTTCTTCCATTAAAAAAACATTTTTTTTAATTATATTCATTAAAGATTCTTTATAAGATAATATTAAAATTATTTGTTATTGTTTTAGGTTAATTAAATATTTTTCATATTAAGAAAGTGTTTGAGATTGCTTATTTAAAATAACTTATATTTTTTTTACAAAAATACTTATCAACTTATTATAATTCAGAAGGATTTAAGTTCTTCAAAAATTCCTTATTTACTGGTTTGACATCAGTATAAGTTGTTTATCCAAACACTCAAAAATATTTGTTACCAATACCACACCAAAATAAGTCATTAAGGGGCTGTTTGGCAGTTGCTGAATGATTTAGTACAGTATGATTAAGTGGTCAGAATGATTAAGAGACTCTGTATGATTTAGTGTCAGATAGAAAAAGGTTGTTTGGAAACTGTTCTGAATCAACTGTCTGAATGACATAAAATTACCATTTTACCCTCAGTCTTATGTTTAATAAAAATTAACGTTTAACAACAATTCTGAAAGAAATTTCTAAATAAAAAA